AATTATGTCATTTTACCCGCGAGGACGACATAATGTTAGTACAGTGCAGGTGACGTGTTTCTAATTCATGTGCCAAGCAGGCTGTAATGAGTAACTATATTGTACCATCCTCTAGGCATTTCTGAATTACTTAATCTAAATTTACATAATTTTCTGTTCATAAATGATGAATAGTTGTATATACCTGATCCTTTCTCATGCTTAACCAAGCACTCTTTCTTACTGCAGCCATCAGTGAAACTATTTCTAACTAATGCCTTCATACATATGTCACAAAACATGAGCTTTCTTGAACTACTGCCCTTGTTAGTAACCTGATCAGGGCTGTCATTTTCCTTTTCAATAGATGGTGTCTTAAAAACAAATGATGACAATCTGGGTACTTTCCCATCCCTATCACTAAAGGGGAGTTTACGTTTTCCATTTCATCTAACGATCTATCTTAGTGAAGGGCCAAATCTGATGTGACCAAAATATGTACAAAAATATAAAACAAAATCGGCAACATAGTGTAAAAACAACAAAATTATATCTTGTGTTTCTTGCTATTTTAATAGTCGATCAAAAAGGTTAAGAAGCCTATTTCGGGCCCTTTCAAATGCACTAGTTTACGAAGTTATGTCTGCAGAAATCACAAACTCGTGCCCAATTAACGACATCGACACACCTAATGATCCACCTACCGTAAGCCAATTCCCGATAAAACAACATCTTTCCTTCAGCTAACTTACCTTATTGTTCACGGCAGAGGCTATCTCGGATTGAGACAAGGGAGACATCATTGGATAATTGGCGATTTTCATTACAGGCGTGTTCCTGTTTAGACAGGTAAACGTTGCTGTCAAAAACACAAAAGAGTTCCGATAGCTGACCTTGCCCCAGCTGCGGGAGTCAGTCAGCCGTGACCGTGTAGTACACAACGAAGTCGGAGCAAAATTTACCTGTGTCACTCGTTACAAATAAGTTAAACGCCAGTGATTTTTCTCTATACAGTCATCGGTGACTGGAAATGTCTCTAATCGGCATTTTCGCCAATAGAAATTTGAAATCGCCAATCTCATTTCACTTTCGCCAATGGCGCCATTGGCGATCGCCAGCGCGAGCCTTGAAATTATGTCATTTTACCCGCGAGGACGACATAATGTTAGTACAGTGCAGGTGACTTTAACAGTCGCACTATTAACATGTATGACTAGTATTCAAATACATCAAGAACATGCCAATCCATCAGGATTTACAAGGATGACCTTGAAAAGGTACATTCAAAATGACATTCTATACAGCAGTACTGAAAGGCAACACTTACAGTAATACTCTCTTGTGTCGAGGTCAAATGTTTTGTTCGGTCCTAATGTTTTTTTCTCTCATCTTACTAAATTAAATACAGATTATTCGAATACTGCGTTTGTGTTGAATATTTTTTGTAGTCCTCTTCTAACTTCTATATTTTTTCCGGACATTAAGACGTCACGTTGTCTCGGGTAAAAATGCATGGCGTCGGTCCTATTGACTGAGTAGGACCGATCCGCCGTAAGCCTGTGTTATTGAGTCCGACTTTAAGTTTCGATCGAACATGAAATCATTAATCCTTCCGTTGTTCCCAATAGGTCAAGTTGAAAGCTAATGCTAAACACCAGCTGACCAACTCGGGAATTCCAGCTATGATAGAACATTGAAATAACTATTACATGAATTATTAAAAAAAATGATTTTTAGTAATATTCCAGTAAATATATTGTGTAACAATATGCGCAGCAACATATGATATGATAGAACATGATATATGGTATATATGTTTCTCTTTTTATCATATGGCTAAACAGTACAAAATTAATTATTTTTTACACATATCTGAGATATCGTAAAGTAACTGAGCTATTAATAGGATATGAATTAGCACTGGAAAATTACTGATAAACAAAAATTAGAAATATGATCAATTCATCAATCATAATATTTACAGTCAAATTGTATTTTTTTATTAATATTTTTTTTTACAAAAAAATGTCACAAACTTTCAAAATAAAAGAAAATGAAAAATGCAAGAAATAGACATTAGGAAAGTAGTTTGATAAATCTAGCATTACAATAATAGTGTAACTCATAGCCCTTACATGCATGAACTTCTGTAAACTTTTGTTTTGTATAATGTATACATGGAAATAATGACAGTCTGAATTGCTTCCAGATAGGAACTGACTTCAACTACTACATTTTGATGATTTTTATAGCATTATTCCTAAATGAATTTTGTCCATGGGTTTGTTTGTATAACTGATGTGATACAGCGTAAAACCTTGAACACTGCTTTACAACTTTATCTGAACCTACAACTATCGTATAATGACGTATTAGTTGAAATATCCATAAGTGTACAAACGAATGCTTATATTGACATTTTTTTCTAATTGCTCACTTCAGGCATCAACACCGAACTACTGTAGCATGGATAAAGTGTGGTGATACTGGAACATCCAAATCAAGCAAGTGCCTTCTGAGCCAGCAAATTCTTCACTTATCTTTCCCCTCACCATTTATTTGTATGCAAAATTAGAATTATTTTATCTAAATTATGTGTTGTTGTTTTTAATTTCTGGTAAATGCGACAGTTTGAAACGCTTCAATCTGGTGCAAGTACCTAGTTTTGGAAACATCATCGTGGTTTTAGCAGTAATACTATAACTCTGAAAGACAAAATGATTTTTTTTACAGAAATGTTACTATTTTGTGAAGATACTGAATCCAATAAGAACATTTCAGTATTGCTGTGTAGAAGAAGATACTTATTGGTCGTCATGACAACTAAAACACAGAATAAATACGTTGAAAAATTAATTTTAGATTTCTACTACATGTAGTTTAAAATCAGTACAGAAGAAATAATTGAAAACTGAAAAAAAAACAAATGAAATGAAAACTTCTGAAATTGTTATGGTTTTTTAACTTGAGTTATCTATCCTGACATCTGAAAGTAAATATTCAGTAAGGCTTGTAACTGCATTTAAAACACTTCTTCAATAGAGCAGAACTTACAGAATGTGTATAAAATAGCTTTTCCTTCACAGGTTCACGAATTAATTTGGTTATAAATACAATATTTATGGTTTTCAAAAAGATCTAATTTTGTTACCATGGCAACTTTTAAATGCGAAAAGAAATTACTTCGCTGTGAAATTTTAACAAATATATTTTTTCAGATTCCTATTATATATTCTGGTGGTTAAATAAATGGTAATTCTGTTATACAAAACCTTTTCTTATGTAATGAAATTTGGCCAGACAGAAATGAACTTTGTTGATTTTAACAAAATGAGTATTCGAAAAATGAGCTGGTAACCATGGCTACAACCGTAAATAAGTAAATTTCTTGCATAAACATAGTTCCTACTCCAATAATTCACAATACTATGAAGTTCGGAACTATTTTCTATATTCATTTCCATCATCGAAAAATTTTACTAATGATAGGAAGTTACGAATTTTTTAAATATTTAAAACTCTGGTTGCTATGGAAACGCCATTATCAATAAAACATGTTTTGGGCTCAAGATTTGAAAAACTTGTATTCCCTTGTTTCTAAATATATATATAGGGGTGACTTACCAAAATGTTGACTGGAAAGGGTAAAAATTCATGTTGAAGCAAAGCGACAGATTTTCTTCAATTTCTATTGAATTCCTGGAAGTTTGGGGAGTTTGTTGGAATTTTCAATGTCATCAGACCACAAGATACTATTGGTAATTTATTAGGACTATATGTCTCATGTACGTCTCAATTCGCCTATGAGGCACACGCAAAGCCTGAAAGTGTAGGTGGGCGTGGTGAACATTGGTATGAATTTACCTCGTACGTGAAGACAAACCATGGTTCGATATTGATTAAACAAACAATATATCATAGAGGACATACAAGACTGTAGAATCAAAGAAAAAGAAACAAGATATGAGATTAGAGATGGATAATTGAAGACTATTTCAAAACATAATCCATGTCAGTTTATCAAAAGTTTGTATCACAGAAATCATCAAGTCCTCGGAGGAATTTTATTTGTTTATTCAAGAACTATTTTAAGTACCTGACAAGAATTAATGACCCAAACACCATGATCCAAATATAGATGATATGTCAGATACGTGTGTGGATAGTGAAGCTATGGTTTATCTCTATAAGATGAATTAGACCGTGAAATTTCCAAAGAAAAAATATCAAAATCAATTCCTATACTAACACAATGAAATTCACATGAAATAGATGGTATTCTTAATTAGTGTTAACTGTATGGGGAAATTTTACTTCTACCTACATCATGTACGTTATTTATTGAAATTTTAAATTCTGGATTTTTTTTCTCGTTGAGTGATCCAGTGGTAATTACTCCGGTGCATAAGAAGGATGAAAGTGTTATCCAAATAATTTTTGAAGTACGAGTTTATTCAGCTGTCTTGGCAAATCATTTACATCTATACTTGTTCGCCGATTGCTGAATTGGAATGAATCGTATGACATAATATCTGATGCCCAGATCGAATTTTTTTTCTGATATTAATACAATCAATGCTATGTTTGCTCTACGTTCTGTTCTTGCAAACACAAAATTGTTACCCGATGCACCTTTCTGCTATATATTGAATGTGTGGTTTCCAGGAGAGTTATCAATGAAAGAAGAATACAAAGTTTTGCCGAGTATTTCGGCCTTTGAAAAAAGGATTTTTTTTTCATTTTTCAATGGTTTATTAATGTTGGTGCCGTTGTTTAAGTATTTTGACTTAAAAGGGTGGCTAATAAAATTATGGAATTAAAAAAATGTATATTTTCCCCTTGTGGATTTTTAAAAAAATATATATTATCATTTATTGAATAGCACATTTTATCAGGGATGGAATGTTTGTGACTATGCTGGGGAAGTGTTAGATTGGATTACCTGTCAATGCAACGTGTTAATTTAAGCAAGTGGTTGAGTTACCTCCCTTTGCGGCGTTTCCTCGATGAAAAACACATAAATATTTCCTGTTGTTTTGGTGGTATCTCGAGCCGATCAAATTGCACATTTGTAGGACATAGGACGAGGATTGGTTTGGGTAAGTATTAGATAAATAGAATTGCATAGACCAAAATTTTCTTTTGTATTTCGACACTGACGGAGCTCCGTGTAAACGACTTGTTATGAGAACAAGTTTGTAACTTCGTAAACGACAGGTTGTGGGCGGGTCGATAGTCCCGACTCTGAAATATTAACATTGACGGATAGTCTTATGTTCATGAATCACTGCTAATCATAACTATTATTTTAGTTTTATGTTGTGAACAATTAAAGCAAAATATTTTCTTCAAATATTTTGACGAGCTTTTACAAAATGCGCTGCTAGTGTAGATGATATATAATTAATGTAAAAATTATCGATTTTATCATGATCAGCTGTACAGTGTTTATGATTCTATCTTCATGATCAGTGTATTACTTGTAAGTCATTGTATATCGACTAATAAGATATGTTAAACTTTACTAGTTTGTACAAACCAATTAGTCCGAGAGTCGCAATATTTAGTTTTAAAAACAGCAAATCAAATACCATTTCCCTCTTCACTTGGTTTCACACTAATCAACAAAAAATACATATACATTGTGGTAGTATTAATATATTGCTTCCGCTACGGTTTAGAACAGCGACCCTGCATACCATGCACATTACTGTTTGAGGTGAAGGGGGCATTCCTTTAGTGCATAGTGCAAGAAACTAAATTCTAGTTACAACTTATAGAATCCAAACTACTATAATACTACAGTGTTTTTCCCTTCAATAGTACTAGCTCAACCCAGACTAATTAAACTTTATGAGAACCAAAACATGACCACACAATAGTTTTTTATTCTTTTTGGGTCTTATCACATCAGGTCATATATGAAGATTATTTTCTCAGACAATTTGCAATTCACCAATGCTGGATCAATAGAGGTATAATGTTATCACACTTAGATGCCTTAACCTGACCAGGAAGAGTATGACTCTGTGCTAAATGGCCATAACCCATAGTCTTCCTCACTTAGGTGGACACTCAACTCAAAGGCCTAAAATAGTTTATGGTTATTCAAGAGACATTAGGTAAAAAAGTTTCTAAGGAAAGAAATAAATGGCAAATATCTAAAGTTAAGTTGTCTGTTATGCAATGAGGACAACATGTACAACCTGGAGGGCAGCCAAGCTAGGCTACATACATGCATGTAAAAGGAGCAGGTCAGTATAGCTTGTTTATATAGTGTTAAGCACAGCTGCTGTCACTCAGCTGACAGAGTGTGCTTCTTTGGCCAAACTATTATCACGTCAGAGACCTGGGTTCAGTTCCTTGGTGGGGCACTCAACAGGAATGTGTAGTGTTCCCTGTTTCCTCATACAAATATGACAGAGAGATATTTCATTAAAGTAGACTGGATTCTAACCTTGGACCAAACCTTTTTATCTGGTATGTATCTGTATACCCAAAAAGATATATACAACTCCCCAACATCAATATATACTTATTGCAAGCTCATGTGTGTCACACTGTAATGTATTTTAATTTACACTTAGCTTAAAGTCATATTTTCATATATATTTATCACAATAGGTCGTGGTATCATGTATATTAGCTCTTTTTGATGTAAAGCACTAAATTTAGTTGAATATATAACAATAATGAAGGTGATTTTACAAGGTATGACTAATTGATCACTTCTGGAGACATATAATAGATATACAATTGATTTATGGGACTTCATTATTGAAAAAAAGTGACTCCCATATGTACATTCAAATTTGCAGAGGCCAAATACATTGTAAGTAAGAATCATCAACTTGCATAAGTTAAACAGACATATAAAGATCTAGAGAAAAGAAGTCTGCAATGTGAGCTACACCAATAACCCCAGTGTATGTGCAATACCTGAGTCCATGTTCAGTCCATTTTACCATAACTACTGACATAAGTCAAAACAGTAATCTTCTTTAACAGAATTATTCTGGCTGAAATAAAATCATAGAAATAGAGACACTATACAGCTCATAGTTTTCTTGAAATTTAAAACATTACAAAAAATTATTAAAATCAGGTATTTTCCTAAATTTGAAAAAAAAAATTACAAACAAACATCAATTGATGCATAGGAAAATAGAAAATTGAGAGTCTTGCCAGCTTGATACATTTTGGAATTGAATTAAATAAATTGATATGTAGTTTTCTAAATTTGGTGAACACGGAAAGGAATCATTCAAAAAACATACACACATCAAGGCTTGGTGACATGTGTCTTGCCACTTACTGGTAGAAAAGACATATCAACAGGTGTGTATTTATGCTTCTCCTTTCCAGTTCCTGCACAATATAAGTGTACAAGCTTCCTGTATATGTGCTTAATGCTAGCTAACTGAAACCTGGTAAAGTGGGATGTACTATAATATTGTCTTTTGTGCATGTAGTATTATTACCGAGTGTTGCTAATTGAATGGAAATAGAATGTGTCAATGTTCATGTGAAGTAAATGCACATACAATATTAACAATTAAACTACACTAATTGTATACAGTTGTTATAGGTAAACTATTTCTCAGTAGTAATTAGTATATTAGGATGTATTATTTACACAACTTCCTCCGTATCTTCAACAACATGTCAATCAAACAGTCTTCTTTTCAGTAGCAAATACAAGTTTAGAGCTTAGCATAGATAACATTAGTGAATTTGAATTTTCAGAAAAGTTTGAGAATATGTTACATCATGAGTGAACTTTTTGAAGCCTTTATTACTTTTGTGTCACAGCCCCTAAAATATGTGACCATTGAGACATGGGTGAACCATTCTAAGCATTCAGTACTTTTGCTTCTGAGCCCCTAACATGGGTGTCCATTGAGACATGGATGAACAATTCTTAGCATTCATAACTTTTGCTTCTGAGCCCCTAACATGTGTGTCCATTTAGAAATAGGTGTGCCCATCAGTTTTTCAAGGCAAGTCCATCACATATGAGGACCCATTAGTAGTTCTTTGCAAGTTCATCCCAAATGAATCTATCAATACGTACACATACATATGTGTATGTGTGTGTGCATGCGTGCAGGCGTACGTGCGTGTGTGTGTGAGAGAGAGAGAGAGAGAGAGAGAGAGAGAGAGAGAGAGAGAGAGAGAGAGAGAGAGAGAGATAATAAAACATATATATATAGATGTTTTATGCAATTCGATCTCTTCTCACAATATATACAAGGCATATTCCTTATAGTCCCATGTTTTACATGGGTTTCCTTCTTTCTTCGTGGTTTTTTTTAGGTGGTTATCACCATCTTATATGACTTTATTGAGTCCTTCTGGCTGTTGGGTTCTCAGAGGGTATGATGAAGCTTGAATATCCAACATTTGTTTTTACAATAGATCAAATTTTAATGCTCTTATCAACTTTATGACACATTTTAAAAGGCATATGGGATATGAAGGGATTGCATTGGCCTGGTGCAATTTACAATTCAACCAGTAAGAATCAGAAAGAAACAAATCCAAGGCTATCATTGATAGTAAATTTTAAAAATTGTATATGAGGTGGAATTCAACGTCATAAAAATTATGTTCCATCCGCTCCTTTTTATATCTCCAAATCACAATTGCTGAATGAAACATCAGTTATATCAATTGAAAGTCCTCAAACAAGGATATAATTACCAAAACATTTTGTAACATTATGAAATGTTTTTATCACAATTTCTGTTTTAAGTTTCATTTGGAATAGACACCATACCAATTTTTTTGGTGTCCATAGTCAAGAGAAAATGATTTTACCATCAAAAAATAAATGTATGTTTTCAATTTACTGAAAATTTGCTTCCTCATTCATGGGAAATGTTCATCCAAAAGATGAATGTGTTGAATTTTAGATCATTGCCAAAAACAGCTGCTGGTATGAAATTATTTTCATTTTAATTTGCTTGGTTTGATATAAAATTGTACTGTTAATAAGGGGAAGAGGTTATTATGAAACTCAGCAAACAATGGAATCAGCATTTACTGCTCATTTTGTGAAGGGGTGCTTTATATATAGTCATGTACATCAGCCTGGATCACTTATTTGAAACCAAGAAAAAAGAGTAAACATGATGCAGATTGTAGATTGTATCAGCCTGTTAGTACACAATATGTATGTCATTGAGCACGACAAAATGTTCACATACATGTACCTCTACGGGTGTGCATAGAGTGTGAGTTGTCATACATCAATTGAAGTTTTGGCAACCACCTAAGGTTTGTAATGAAGGAAGGGAATGTTGAATCTCTGACAAGCAATATAATACCAGTGATAAATGTAGCTGGTGTATACAAATTGATGCACAATGGTGGAGCTGTGTGAGTGGTACATCAGCTGTAGATGTATATCAATGACACCAGAGATCTGCAGTCTGTTCTGGGAGATCTGAGAAACTCTGACAGGAAACATTAATATAAACCTGCTACTTAGGACAGGTAGCTTTAGTTTGAGATAAACAACACTAACATAACTCCTTCACCTTATCAGAATGACCATCAAACAACACTCTTTATACACAAGTAACTCATATAACAGTCACCATCAAACAACACTCTTTATACACGAATAACTCAAATAACAGTCACCATCAAAGAACACTCTTTATACACAAGTAACTCATATAACAGTCACCATCAAACAACACTCTTTATACACAAGTAACTCAAATAACAGTCACCATCAAACAACACTCTTTACCCACAAGTAACTCATATAACAGTCACCATCAAACAACACTCTTTATACACAAGTAACTCATATAACAGTCACCATCAAACAACACTCTTTACCCACAAGTAACTCATATAACAGTCACCATCAAACAACACTCTTTATACACAAGTAACTCATATAACAGTCACCATCAAACAACACTCTTTATACACAAGTAACTCATATAACAGTCACCATCAAACAACACTCATATTCACCATACACTCTTTATACACAAGTAACTCATATAACAGTCACCATCAAACAACACTCTTTATACACAAGTAACTCATATAACAGTCACCATCAAACAACACTCTTTAT